TGGCGGCGAGGGTGCTTTAATTAAAGATGAGCTTTAATTAAAGCACCCCCGTTGCTGTTTTGAAATGCAGGGATCCTGAATACATGAGATGCTAAAGTTGCTGGATTGGGCTTATTATCACACTCCAGCAGACTTGATTAATTGGGTCTGCTCTGGTGCATTCTAATTAGAACGCATTAGAGTAGGCATCAGGCATGTGTACGGGTGCCCATAGATTTTAAGCCAAGGAGGGATAATTACAATGATCAAATATGATCACATACATAACACAGGCTATAGAACTTCAACAAATGATTCCTATATGAAGCCCATACCTTCTTATTTTACTTCTTTTAGAGCATATCTTTTGATGTCCAGACTTGAAGTAAAGACTAAGTGATGGAGAATCTACCACATCTACAACAAGTAGCTTGTTCCAGTTGTTAATTACCGTCATTGCGAAAATTGCGATTTCTCATATGAATCTGCCTAGCTTTAGCTTTCAGCCATTGTATCTTTTAAATCTTTTGTTAGCTAAACTGAAGACTTCTCTACTATCAGAAATCTCCTTTCCATTACGGTTCTGAGAGGCTATGACTAAGCCACTTCTTAAGGCATTCTTGAATAAAATAAATAGATTGAATTTCTTTTGTCTCTCACTCTAAGGCAGGTTTGCCTTTCAAAGTGCTTCCCAGGCTTAGCATTTTGTCCAGAGCATGCTGCACCAGGGTTTTGGAAATGTATTCAATGCTGCATGAATACAAAAGCAGCACAGACTTGATCAATAAAGTTCAGAGTTCTGTGTTTCACTAATGTACCTCAGTGTCTTGAATGGAACAGCTAGTCATCAGGGCACAACACCAGGTTGTTTTTTCATCTTTATACCTCCTCACTAACCAGCAATACTGCTCATTGTTTCCCAAATGATAATCCCTCTGGGGTTTTTTTGTATTCACCAGACTGATTCCTACACAATTTTTAAAAGTCTGGGCCCTTCACAGTCAAATGAAGCCATTTCTCACCTACTATGAGCATTTGGTCGCAGGCTACATGTAGAAGCACATGCTCGACTTGCACCATCTCTGTATGGAAAAATGTATCACAGTTAATAATATGAAGATTCCCATTATCATTAGGATTGGGTGATGTCCTTGTTTGCTGAAACATAATTAACCTTAGGTTTCTCCAATCCAACTCTCAGCTTAATGGGGAAAAGTCTCTCACATTAAAGAAAGCAAAGAGTGGAAATATTATTTCACTGAAAGTGTTCCTCACAAAAGGTCTCAGATCTGCTGCTTCCTTTGCTAGATGTTGAAAACCACTTACTGAACTTATAGTTAGACTAACAGCCACAAAAAAGAAAACAATGGTTTATCTCACTACATGAACAAATTAGAACACAGGCGATCATTCTAGAGCAGACGCTGGCAAATCAGCATTGTTGATTCCCCAGTTCTCTGAAAAACTTTTTATTTCCTATGACTGCTGAGGCTCTCAGAAGGTTTAGATGCTGATAGCACTGACAGATTTCTAGTTCAACACAAATAACTCAGATAAAACAGTTAAAAGCATGAAAGTGGAATTCAAGATTTCAGTTACAGGAGGCTACATAAATCCAGAGTAATTTACCCTCTTCTTACATTGTGTTTCTCATTGTTCCTAAAGGTAATTCACTCCCATCGTCAAGGTCATTCTTACTGAGAACCACAGAGGGAATCTCATCAATTGTACATCTTAATTCTTCAAGAAGCCGCTTTAAATCTCTCAGTGGATCCTCCTTCAAAATGCCTGGTTTGTGCGGCATCTGCATTAAAAATGTTAATTTACAAAATAAATATGAAAAATGGCATTTTACTTTTCAGATTTGATATATACACATTCAAAAACAGACATTTCTTCTCTCCCATTAGTTATAGTTTAGAAAAAATGAGTTTAAAAAAAAATAATTTTAGTGGAAAGTATGTGGAGGTTTGACTATAAATTGATAATTTTCAAATAAATTGTACATGTGCTTATACTCTCTACCTGATGATAAAGTGCTCCTCTTCCAAAAAAATTGAAAGAAAAACCAGTGGTGCTCAACCTTCTGGCTGGCAGGCCAGATGGGCAGTGACTGATCCTCTGTGGACAGGATCCTGTCAATGGACCCAATCTGACACCTGAGGCAGGCATTGCAGGGCCCTATCTGGCCATGCAGAGGGGAACAGCCCAGCCCTGTTCCAGCTGTTCAGGGGAAGGGGGCTTGACCCAGCCCCAATCGATCCCTGTGGGGAGAGGTGGCATGGCCCAATCCTCTGAGAGGAAGGGGGCATGCCCCAGCCCCAACCTGACCAGGTGGAAGGAAGGGGGTGTGGCCCAGCCCTATGAGGGGCTGGGGAGAAGGGGACATGAGCTGGACCTGAACTAGCTGCCCCAGGCAGGAGTGAGGTGGGGTGTGGTCCTGCCCTGTGGTGAGTAGGGCAGGACCACATCACAGGGTGTGCAGCCTGACCCCAATCCAATTGTGTGGAGGGAAAAGGGTGTCAGTTTGGCCAGGCAGGGGTAAAATTGTGGCTCAGTTCCTACCTGCCCTGTGGGATTTAGGATTTTGGCAGCAGGGAGAGATGGCAGTACTGCCACTGCTCCCCTGCTGCCAAATGTCCTGACCTTTGGAGAGCCCTGTAGGCTGGAGTCCAAGGCTCTGCAGGCTGCACTTGGCCCGTGAGCTGGAAGTTGATCAGCCCCGGCTTAAACCCTTCTGTTATATATAATATGGCTTATAGGAATATTCTACATTAAAATATCCTAAAAGTACATTATTAAAAAAACAAAGTCAAGCAACAATGCCAGAATTAAGGCCACCTGTATAACCTATTAAGATTTCTCACAGCCTGCTGCCCACCTGAGTGCCATAATCACTAGGCTGCTCACTGCTTTCTGGTTGAACTTTAAGAGTCTCTTGTATTAAGCTGTTCCACTCCCTATAAATAACTACATATGCCTCAGAGCCAGTATCATAACTAAAAGTGACAAGTGGGACACCAGCCCTGGGAGTCCACGTGGAGGCGGTGCAAAAAATAGCAGCTGCCACTACTGTCAGCTCAGCTATTACCCCATGCACTGCTGCTGCCCAGGGCACAAAACTGCCCAGCTATGCCTCTCCTGGGAGCAGGGCTTTGACTCTGGATCTCCCACATCTGAGTTGGTGCCTGAACCACTAGTCTATAATGAGTGAATTCCAAATACAAGGTGAAAAGCAAAATGTATTTACATTTGTTCTTTCTGTTTTAATATTTTAAAATGTTATTAATGCTAAGAAGTAAGGCAATTCACTTAAAAATCTATATAGCTTTTACTGTCCAACTATTTTTAGGATGGGATTAGCTAAGGAAAAAGAAAACTGTTATGTTCTTGAAATAAGAAAGATTACAGAAATTACTCAATTCTTTTTAGGTAAGAAAGTTCTTTCAAAAATCCCCAGCTAGAAATCACACATTTCTGAACTTCAGAACAACTCTACATCCCCAGTATGACTTCACAGTCTCAAGCAGATACTCACAAGGGTTATGAAGCTGCTAAAGGCTTGGGAAGATGAAACATTACTAGAGTGAGGATGGGTCACTGGTAATATATGGCGCTGTTTTCCCAAAGTAGAACTGGATGCATAACCCGGGCCCTGGAGTTCCTGCATTAAAAAAATTAGTCATGCATAACCAGAAGAAACTGTATATAGACTGGAAGGCCTTTGGTACCCTCTTTTTGAGACTTGTTTTTAGTGTCTAATACAATAGGGGCCAGAGTCAAGATTTTCAAAACTGACTAATGACTTTACATTGGGGTGGGCAAAATGCGGCCCGCAGGCCAGATGTGGGCCACCAGGCCATTCTATCCGGCCTGCAGGGCCCCTAAAAAATTTAGAAAATTAATATTTAGCTGCCCCTGACAGCCTGTTATGCAGCCCCCGATGGCTTGCCAAAACTCAGTAAGTGGCCCTCTGCCTGAAATAATTGCCGGTCCCTGCTTTACATTAAATTGTTGCAATATCTGAGCAACAAACTTTAAGGCACTCTAACAAGGTCTGACCCCTTGAAAACTCTCAACTTTTGAATGCTAGATCCCTTCATAAGCTCAAGATGGAAACCAAAACATGGAAACACCCAAAATCCTTAGTCAATTTTGCAAATCTTTTCTGGTCCATAATACAGACTCATATGAATAAATTATAATAAGTAATATATTGTCTACAAAAAAGCCTGTGGGGCTACAGTTGAATACTAGAAAATATCATCGTTACTGTTTTTGAATATTTTTGTTATACTGAATACACCATCAGCAATCAGTTTTCCACTCAATACTTTAATGTTTTTGAATATTTTATGTTCTGTATTCATTCACTACTAACAGAGATTCCTAGGAGACTTCATAAGACAAAGTTGCACTAATTTTCTAGCAAGTCTGGTTTTCCCTTCAGCAGAGAATTTTTTTCCCAGGTGACACTAATTTTTTTACTTTTCTCAAAGTTCTTGTGTGCCTGTCTAGACTCAAGTAGGCGCTCCCAAGTGGCTCAGGCTTGGGTGGTCCTGCCTCGGTTGGGATCTTCCTCGGGCACCTGCATCAGCCATACTTTACCTCCCAAGGGAAGCCCCCAATACTTGCCCGCCATGTCTTGGTCTTCTGTTCTAGTGCAGGAGGTTCCCCTTTAGTAGGGACTTGCTTGGAGGCACTGTCAGCAGATGTCCTTGGGGCTCCACCTCCTCTACACCCCTTCCATGCGCCAACGTGATGGACTTGGCCATGTGGTAGGTGGTCTGAATCTCTCGGATGCCGACCCTTGTGATGTAATCCCAATCTGGCCTCACAATGTATTTTCATCCTGCCCGCAATTCTAGTTGTGGGCTGTCTACTGGACATGAGTTCCTTTGGCCGGATTTGGCCTGCAGTGTCCTTAATGGACCCAGAAGGTCACTCTCCCTCTCTCCAGCCGTGTTCCTGCTGCCCCAGCCAGGCCGGTAGGCTTTTTGCACCTCAGCCCAGGGCCCCTGAGGGCCCCAATCCCTCAGCCCCAGACATAATCTATGGGCCTGTGGTCCGGCCTCAGGGGCAACATAAATTTACAACAAAATCCAAACAAGCTGAAAATGGACGGAGAGGTAACACGCTCCCCTCCCAACTCACTTGTCCCTGCTTGTACATCGAGGGTTACTCCCTTGGCATCCTCTCTGGATCCAACATCGGGTGTTGCTCCGTCGAAGAGCAGACTCCTCTTTGGCACTCCGTCCTGGGTCCCTGGCTGGAGTTGGTGCTGGCTGTGCTGACTGGGAGCTCCTAGCTGCCTCCCAGCTGGTGCTCTCTTGCTTCTCCCCAGCAGCCAGCTTTTAAATTTCCTGGCTGGTGCTGCTGGCTGTCATCACTGCCCTGTGCTGACCCCAGCCGCACATAATAAGGGCTGAGGAAGTGTGCAGGTGGTTCTCCTTTCAGCTGCCAGCTCTCTGCCACCATTCCTGCAGCCAATAAGTCTTTTTTCATAATGGGGCTCCTGGACATGTTCCCCTGGGGCCCCGGGGTTCTCCCGCCATGGTCTTGGTCCCAGGAAAGGGGTCTGCACCCCTTTTCTCTCGTTGCTCCTTGAGATCTTGCAAAGAAGATCTTCATAAAAAAATAACTTCTGAATTGCTGATATATCAGCCTTAGGGATTTCCCAGCTTCTACAGTGCAGCTATGTGTTATCAATATTAAATTTTGCTACTCATTGACAATTAAGAATGTGGATCAATGTGAAATTAATTACCAATATAATGTCAACCTCTTACTGCAAAGTTATTGTTCCGATTGTGTTATTTATTTTCATCCTTAGTCCAATAAAAATCTTAAACCTTAATTTAACTGAATCTGCCAGAAAAATTTTGGAGTGACACAGAATCCAAAAGCCTTGGAACTGGTCATAGATTCATACTGCCAAAACATCCTTATTGGTATTACAATTTTAATTAATTGTAAGTCAAACTCTGATGTCCTTAATCCCAATGAATAGTACTTTGCAAAAGAGTGAAATTCTTCATTCATAGATTCATAGATGTTAGGGTCGGAAGGGACCTCAATAGATCATCGAGTCCGACCCCCTGCATAGGCAGGAAAGAGCGCTGGGTCTA